CCAAACCATTCTATGATTCTATGATTCCTACCTTTTTTCTATGATTTAATCTCTGTCCATCATGTTGTCACTAGTTATCAACATAATTTAATGGGACTTCTAATTATTAAGTGACCAAGCCAATGTAGATGCACACCAGGCACTATGCATTTCTCTGATTATTTTTTTTTTCAGGTAATTGAGCATTAAATGGTTTGTTCCAAATCAACATGGGGGCACAATGCACTCTACTTTTTCCCATGGAATAAATCTAGCAACGTGGTAAATTTCCCTGTCCAATTCTCCCAAAATGCCCCCAGCCATGACTGCTGGGAAACCAGTTGAAACCTTCCAACCATACAAACTTGGCCCTCACTAAGTCAGACAAGAAGGGCATTCACTGCATTTTTCTAAACTGGCCCAAGGTCATGCTTGACTGATGTCACAAGAAGAGATTTCACATTCAGAGCAGATCTGAAGCTATCATTTTTCCACTTAAAGGAGACTTGTAAAAGCACAATGACAAAATCATGTGAGTCCAGGGCACAACAACATACAACAAAGGACCCTGGAATGATTTATGACACCCACAAGCTCTGTAAGAATTTTCGGTGGCAAATCTGAAATATTTACAAAAGGGAATACAAGGCCCTAGACTCATTTTACTGAAAAACACAACTCAGCAAGTCTGTGAGGGAGCCAGAAAACCAACACAAAGCTCGTGGTCTGATACTCTATGTGCCAGGACATACTGCCTATGGTATTATATTGTATTAAGATCAGCTATAGAAAGTCATGTTGTCGTTCTACAAGAATGTAAGAGGTAGGTTACTAAACTAGACTGAGACTAAACAGAAATCTGTTCTGTGCATCAGAATGAGAGAAGGACTGTAAATTGTCTGGTTTTGGTATTTGCAAACTCATTTTAGAGCATATGGTAAATCACAGAGCGCAGCTGGATTCCCAGCCAATTGCTTTAGATGAGAGTCCCCAGTCATACATTACATTTTAAACAAAGACTCGTATAAGGGCTATCACACAGCTTCAGCTTCTCCTCAGAGTGAGTTCTTACCTGTGAAGGGAAGTGCAAGTCTCAGTACTAGTCACAAATATGGCAGTAGGATTATCTCTTTAAAATAAAAAAAACCCAAACCCACCCACCCCTTCTAAACAAAAAAAATGGACAAAATATTGTTATCAGTCTTGATATGTAATATTGCTCCTTACCTGTTGAAAGTCTCCAGTAGAAAAGCTGATGATAGCTGTCGGAATCACCATGAAACAAGCATTATAGAAAAGGACACCATATTTTCCCAACTCCTGTGGAAAATGAAACAAGATGTTGGCATTATAAGCCATTTGGGAGCAAATACCAAGTATTAGTCTGGCAATCCTTCTGACATTACTGCCATTGAGCAGACAAAACATAATACACTTCAATCTAAAATACAAGCTTGCGATCATTGGATTCAGTGTTTAGTACTGAGCTGAGTTTCCATTTCAGTCACTTTGTATGTTCAGCAGAACACTATTGCTCTGCTATACCTTGAAAAGCTTCTACACAACACTACCTAGTCAGAAACTTCCCAAGTCACTGGTCCAGAACTGCTTTGGGTTAGGCTGCAGATAAGTCTCTGTCTGGCCAAGGGATTACCCATTCCATCTACTGCAAATCAACCACCAAAGCATAGGGCAGGGTGGCTCCCCAGGGTTATCATAGCAGGAAAATTAATTAAGTCTGACTCCTAGATGGAGCATCTGTAATCACTGGTAACTGATGTAACTTCAAGAAACTTGAGGGATGCCATATATCCTTGACACAAAGTCAGAAGATTCGGGCAACGAAAAAGCAGCCTTCCCTTCCTCCACAATCAGCCATGCTGTGTAGCACACCCCTCCAGCTTATCTCTTGCATTAAAATGAGACCCCGTATTTTAATGTGACTGTGAGGCCATTAAGTGCCACTCATAAAGAAAAATATGGAGTCTGGATTCGATGCAACTCCTGAGCTACATATTTCCACTGTACAGACTGACCCACAAAAGTCAGTGACAAAACCTTTATCCAGCATCTCCAAGACTTTGCTCTTTGCTACAGCTTGGTATGTTTTCATGGCATGGTATTTGAAGAGCAGTCTGCTCAATGTTTATACAAAGTATAATGTATCAAGGTATGGCCTAATTCTGGGTTTGGTGGAGACCTGCTTTCAGATAGCGAAAAAGACATCAGTTGTTATTGTTATTGACTCAAACTGGCCACGTCTCTGTTCCTACCCATGAGCTTATTTTACATAAACTTCACTTAAAGTGTGTCTCTAGTCAAGAAGTCATTTTCCTTAGACATATATACATATATCAAGTTTACAGGTAAACAATTTGCTTTTGGTTTCAATTTATTTTAATTTTTAGCCAAAATTAGTGTTTTAAAGCCACTACAAACTCTTCCTAAAAGACTTATGAAAAAAAAAACCATACTGTTTATCTAAGCCCGGTCTGAGATACTAATAACAAGTTTTTCCCAGGGTGTTCTGTACTAAGGACACGTATACCAACTGAAATATGAAATCAAATTAAACTATTTCTTAGTTCATAACTGTATGTTCATAAAGTCATACAATAAGTATGTTACCATATTGTCATAATGTTAAATTCAACCTAATCAACCCACAGTTACCTTTGGATCGATTTTCTGCTTTGTGTAAACTCCGTTTGCTGCTGTAAAGATATCATTTAGCAATACAAATGTGTAGCCCTCCAGATTAAAAGACAGATCAGACCTGGGAAAGAAATAATATATTGTAAATAACCAAACAGTATACAATGTAGTGCACTACCTTGTTTACCTAGAAAAGTATAATAAATGAGGAAATGCAAATCCTGAGAACTCACAGGTTTTGTTTTAAGCCTTCTTTGTAAGTCAAAGTACTTCATATTTCTCCAACTACAGGACCCTCACAAATGAGTCATCAGAGAGTTCCCAGAACTCAGTGTGGAAATGCAAGGAAATGTTCGGTTTTCATTCTGTGAAAAATTCCATCCGTTTCAATCCCAACAACCTGTCCAATTATTACTGAGTATACTTATGTATTCCTTTTAACACAAAAAGTAGCTAGGGAA